TTGGTCTGGCAAAGGTTTTGTACGCCCTAGTTAGCAGTACAATGTTACCGGAGAAGAAGCTTTGCAAGATTAGGTTAACAATTCTTAGTGCCTTTTTGGCAATGCTGTTACAGTGAGCTCTGGGGCTTAGATCATTTGACATGAGTACTCCTAGATCCTTGACAGAGTGAGGGTCATCTACGAGGTCGTTTCCGCCCAACTTGTATTTTGTGCTCTGATTTTGATTGCCAATGTGTAGGCTAGAGCATTTATTAGTTGAGATTTGGAGTTGCCAAATGCGCGACCATTCTGACACATGGTCAAGGTCGCTTTATAGGGCAGCAGCATTGTCAGTGGTGTTAAATAATTTTACGACATCAGCGAAGAGGACGCTGCTGCTTTTAATGTAATTGCATAGGTCGTTGATGTAAAGCAAAAAGTGTGGATCCTAGAATGCTGCCTTGGGGGACACCGCTGTTAACTGGTGCTGGATTTGATCGGGCCCTCCCTATTTTGACTACTTGTTGCCTGTTTGACAGGAACGTGGATATCCATTTGTGCAGGGATCCAGAAATCCCGTAAGAACTTAGTTTTAACAGTAGTTTGTCGTGGACCACTGAATCAAAGGCTTTGCAGAAGTCTATGTAAATTGCATCTACTGCTTTACCCTGGTCAAGATGTGTGGTCCAAATGTTTCTGCAGTGTAGGAGTTGCAGATTACAGGACAAATTTTTCCTGAAACCAAACTGCCTGTTAGAATGACATGCACGTGGGCAGAAACCAAAGGAAAGAGATGGGCCCTCATCTATTTAAGAAAATTATACAGCCGCACAACTCAGTCTCAGTGAGTCGGGGATAAAGAATAAAAACCCATTACAAAAAACAATAACCCTCCATCCCTCTGGTGACAACAATCAAAGAAGTCACTCATTCTGGGGTCCCTAGCCCTCTTGGCAGAACCAGGTCTTCGGGGCCTTGCAAAAGAGAGTCAAAATGTGGGTCCCCTCTATGGGGATTATGTTCCTGAGGGAGGGGGCCACCATGGAGAAGGCTCTTCTTCTTGGTCCTGCCTTGGACCTCCTTAGGGGAGGAAACCCATAACATTCCCTGCCTCCCCTCTCTGGTGGACCAGGTAGGTCTGATTGGGAAAAGAGGGTCCCTCAAATAACCTGGTCTCTAGCCATGTAGGGCTTTGAATCTTGACTTGGACCCCAAAGCCAATGCAGATTACACAGCAGTGGTACCCCCAGGCCACAACAAAGAGCACCCATTACCACTCACAGTGCTGCAGTGATAGTGTGAGCATTAACAGGCCGATACAAATACCAGGCAAAGTTATGAGAAAGATGATTAAGCAGTTGGTTTGTGGACCTTGACAGGATCCAGAAGGGGATTATCAAGAGTGGGTCATGTCAAACCAACCTGATCTATTTTCTTGATATAGAGACCAGTTTGGTTGACTACAGAAATGCCTTGGACATAAAGTACTTTTACTTCAGCATTTAATAAAGCCTCCCCCGAGGTCCTAGACCAAAACTGGACTCTGTACCATTAGATAAACACAGGGCTGGCTGAACCCCTGTACCCACCACCAAGTGTACATGAATGGCTCTGCTGTTGAATGAAGTCCAAGTCCTCTCAGTTTGAGTTCCTGTGCAGTTCCAGTGTGATCATTCCTCTCCATTATGCATTGGGCGAACCACGCATAAGATATTGCATTCAATTCTGGGCTCCACATTTCAAGAAGGATAATTGGCAAAATGGAGCTTGTCCAGAGGAGAGCAACCAAATTGACAAGGGACCTAGAGGGAAATTCATACGAAGAACAGTTGGAGATATTGCATGTGCTTTGCTATAGTTTAGATGATGGTGGTGGGGAAACGGTGTCTTTCTGTGCCTGAAGGGTTGTCAGAAGATAGGGAAGGAATGTTTAAAGTTGATTCAACCATCGGGGCAAGGAATGGTAGCCTTAACAATCAGGTCTCTTCAGCAATAGAACCACTGCCTCAGGAGATGGCGGCCACCTGCTGAAGAAGCCACACAGGACAGAGGGTTGACCTCAGTTGCCTTTAAGATCTCCTTTCAGTTTTAGCATTTTATGATTCTGGATCACACGGAAGTTCATTATTTCAGAGGGCACAACACAGCAACAGTTTTAAATCACAGAAAGGCAAATTTTGACTGAATGTAACAGAAACAGCCAACAGTGGCAAAATGATGGTGGACTCTTCCTCATTGGGTAAGGTCAAGCAGAGCCTTGATAGCTATTCATTAGAAGAGTGTCATGTACAGGGGAGAGCCTTCGTGGCCTCAGTGACTCTTCTAGGATTCTAAGGGTTGGCATGCACACCTGTTTCAGAAAACAATCTGGGGCCAATGAGAGAATCTTTGGTCCAACAGCAGGTGAGAAGCAGGTACGTTGGCAGAACTCGACTCCCTTGCCCACTTAAGCTGAATGCCTCTCATGCTCCAAGCAAAGCTGTCACATCTGAGGCCTCAAGGGCTGTGAGGAGCTCCTGGGATATCAGCCAGGCTGGTCACCTTCAGGTGCCCTTCTGTTCCAGGTGGCTGGCTTGTTCCAGCCGGCCACCGTGCTCCCTTAAGAAGCTGTTGACAAAACATGGGGGTGGGGTGGGGTGGAGAGAGAGAACAACTCAAAACCAGTTAGTCTTAGTAAAATGCTTAAGGGGAAAATACCAGTTCAGGCCATTCCTCTTTCAAGGTCAGAGTCTTCCATGTACTCAGGTGCTGCAACACACCTGAACAACACTCTAAACAACCTGTATTTTCACTTTAGACCTCCCCCCATTAATGCATTTCAATCCAAATTCACGTAACTTGAGAACAAGCAGGCCTGCTAGACACGGGTCTCTCCCTTTGGCCACCCATGTGCCTCAGCTGCAGGAGCTTCCCAGGACTGGTCAGCCTCCTTGTCACTAGGCAAAGCTGCTGTGGTCGTCCACAGTATGCCAGTTTGGCAGTGTGGGAACAAAAGCTGGTGCCCTATAGGAGACCTTGCCATATGGTAGGGACCTTTTGAAACCTCACATGGGGAGAGGGGGTCTCGGCCAGGCAATAGCAAGAACCTTTAGATTTATATACCACTTCACAATGCTTTCCAACCCTCTCTAAGAGTCAGCCCCTTGCCCCCAACAATCTGGGTCCTCATTGTACCAACTTCGGAAGGACGGAAGGCTGAGTCAACCTTGAGCTGGTCAGGATCGAACTACTGGCAGGCAGCAGAAATTACTTGCAGTACTGCATTCTAAGGACTATTCACACCATTTTCAAGTTTCTAATACAGTAGAAGCTGCATCCATTCCAAAATTGGGGGGGGGAAGCTACTTCTACTGCTACCACCGGCCCTCCCTCCAACCACTGGTTGGGTAAGAGGACTAGAGAAGTCTCTAAAGCCCTTGATGATAAAGACAGGCCAAGGACACCCCAGCCCTTCTTGCAGGTGGCTTCCCATCCAGAAGTGGGGGCCCTCAATCCCACAGAGACGACCCCGGCTGCCAGGGACCAAGAGCCCTGTCAGGCCAAGGAAGGGAAGCTGCCAGGTTCTCTTTACACCCGAGTCGGGAAGAGGCTTCGGCCAAAGGGGGAGGGAAGCTTTAGTGCAAGAGAGAGAACGCCTTGGCACTCGGTGGCAGAGCTGATCTGATCGCCCTCTGGTTCCTCCTTGGCTTTTTCCGATTCCTTCCTTATCCAAGAGCTCCTTGAGAAAGGGCTGAGCCTTGTTGCCAGTCAGATTTCTCCTTGCGTGATTCTGGCACTGTGGCTGCACCCTGCTTTTTGCTCCCCCACTTTTATGTTCCCTGTAAGGTCATCCATGCATGCAGTCAGCAACTAAGCCAAGCAAGGCAGGGCCAACAGACTTTTGCAATCACGAGACAGATGAAGTTCACTTCCCATTTACCTGCATTTTTCTTTTTTGATGCTTTAGTTCCCCTGGCATACGGCCTGGGAGCCTTGGTCCTCTGGCCCTGTTGAGCCAAGCCAGTGGCACCCCTGGGGAGAAACAGTGGGAAGATACGGAGAGCTTCTTGCATGGAAAGAACCACATCAACTACGCCTTGCAATCAGAGAGCAGGAAGACCTCAACCACCTTGGATGGAAGGCCTCAGCCATCCTTCAGCCTGGGTGCTTCACAGTCAGCCTTAGATTCCTCCAGGGCAAGTTTCAGGCCACTGGCCTGAGGACGAGAGGTGCAGTGGCCAGTCCTGGGCTCTTTCTGCTTCTCCATCTCTTGGAGGAGCCCCTCCCATGCCATCGGTGAGCCATTTGCCCTTGCAGCCTACCCTGAAGACATGGTGATCGAGGGGCCATCCTCCCCTGCTGGCCTTGTGCAAAAGGCGCCTGCAACCCATCTGGGAGCAAGAGGGGAAATGGAAGGATCAGGGGGAGACGGCCTGGGCCTCTGCTTCTCTTCTGCCCAGCACCAAAGCAGGAGTGGGGGATGAAGGCGAAGGCAGGAGCATAGAGAACTGGCTACGGAATACTTTGCCAGTCCGGAAGCCAAGAGTGCCACAAACGGATCACCTCCACACCCACAGAAGCCATCACAGGGTGGGACCAGCCATCCCTGAAAAGCTGAAGCCCAGAACAGCGTGCAGAAACTCAGGTGCATCAAATATTGGGACTTTCTGACAAAAGACGTGACCCCCTAATACTAAGTTGCATCAGTTCCATCAGATTCCCAGAGCTTCTTCAACTCTTCCCACCTCATACAAGGAAGATCATGTTGAATGATGGACTTTCTCAGAAAAAGATTTGAAGGCTGGTTGCTGAATATAGCAATAGTGGTTCGTGGTGTAAGTAAAGCATGCATATGAATCCAATGAATGCTTAATGAACAGTTCGGATTTCAGCTGGAATGCCTGGTGCATTTTTGGTGTGTGTGTATGTACGTGTGTGTGTTTGTGTTTTCGTACTTTTGCATGCAAACTCTGTTGTCAACTAACAATTCACATGATATCAGACAAATTATATGGTGCAGCAAGGAATATGGATTTAACAACTAATTTTAACAACCAAGGTAGCTTTATTTAATAGAAAGGAATGAACAATTTCTACATAAATGGTGAAAAACAAGATGAATGTGTATATCCCTGAAGGACGTTTACTGAAGACAGGAAGACAGATGGAGGAGTTGAGACCCGAGATCTTGGCAAAGACGGTGAGCAGCAGGAGGAACACTGGCCAGAAGGTGCAAAAATGGCTCCGTACCCATCTGTCCTTCTGCTCACTTTATTATACTACAGGGAGGTGAAAGTTAAGAAATAAATAATGAATTTATAATGAAATGTCTTCCCTTGCTAACAAAGGATGTTGTTGAATGGGGATGGAATGAGTCCTTCAAAGTGTGTGTGTGTGCATGCAGAAGAGATTGCAGACTGAAGGCGGGACGAATGCAGACCGAATATGGAGGAAGCCCCAGCACAATAGGGGCGCTTTGGTCACCCAGAGAGAACCACATGAGAATCCAGTTGCGAAACCAACATGTGAAGGGAGAACACGTCAGGAGAAAGAGGCAGAAAGTGGTATTTCATTGAGAGTTTTCAGAAACAGAACATGAGAAGTTTGAAGAACAAAAGGCAGCCAGCCCAGACCAAGAACAAGAGGAGTAAAAAGGGAGGGAGGGGAGGGGGAACCTTTCCCATCCCATCTTTTTTATTTTCTTTGACTGCTTTCCACTCCTCTTTCCACCCAAGGAGCCGTATGTGTGGTGTGGAGAATCTCTCTTTCTGAACCTCTCCAAAAGGCCAATGGCTCTGGAGACTTGGGCCAGGCAGAACCTGTGGCAGAGCAGAGTCTGTGCTGCATTGGCTCCTCTGCCTGGCCTGAGGTACCCTAAAGACCACCGGAGAAAGGGGCCCCCAGCAGCAGGCAAAGCCCCCTTCAGCTCTTGCTGCCTCTTCTTCTCTGGACTCTGCTCAGGGGCTGCTGGGCCCCAAAGCTCAGATGTGGAGGGAGGGCGAGAGAAATGCTGTTGGGGAAGAAGGTGGAGGGGGGGAGGGGGTTGGGGGGGGCTAGCCAACAATCAGTTTCTGTTCTGGGTAGGGGGGAGGAATTCCACACAGCTCAGTTTTCAAAGCACTTAATGAACAGCAACTGAAAACGTAACAGACGAGATAGGAAAAGAGGAACACGGCTGCTTGGCCAGATTCGCAAGAACAGCTTTTACTTCTCGTTTCTAACACTGAATTCCAGGAAGGGCCAAGCAGGCCTCGGAGGCTCGTCCTTGGATGGAGGCAGCGGCGGCAGAGAGGGGCTGGGCAGGGAGAGCTGTTCCTTTGGCCTGTTCTCCATTAAGCCTGCCCTTCCCCATTGCAGGACATGGGCGGGGGGTGGGGGGGACAGCAGCCACCCCCCCCCCCGAAACAGAGGCCTCAACTCCCCAGCCCTGAGCGGGAGCAGCCACACAAGCACACAGGCCAACACTCTGGCCAAGCAAAGCTTGCTCCTCAAGGCAGAAGGGGCCAAGCAGGACCCCTCCCCGCCCCTCTCGGCGAAGGGAGACAACCTCCCAAAGGGAAAAGCCTCTCCAGTTCCCCCTCCTGCCTCTTCCAGCTCAGGCACAGCCTTGGGGGGCTCCTCACACGGCCACGCTGGCTGACTGTGCCAGGCCCAGAGCCTGCACCAGCTCCTCACTCAGGCCGCTCTTCAGGGTCCGCCTCACTGCAAGGAAGGAAAGAGCGGGGGTTTGTGTCAGGGAGATGCAGAGGCCCTTGGAGGAGGCGGGGCCTGCTTTGAGAGGAACCCGGAGCCAGTGGTGGTGGTGGGGAGACTTCTCCTCCCACTCCTTTATTCCACATCAGTCGCCCACTCCAAGAAAGAAGCCACGTCTGGGCTCCACCAGTGACAGCGCAGGCAACACTTACAGGACTTCCTGTTCCCACGTGATCGCCGGCGTTCTTTGGCCGGGCCTGAGCGTGCAGGAGACCTCTGGGTCACGGACTTGACCAGGCGGTTCATGATCTCCTCAGAAGCATCCTCGAGAGAGCCAGCAGCTTCCTCCTGGGGGGTGGACCCTCCGGCGGGACTCTGCTTCCCAGCACCTAAATGGAAAAACTCCTGAGGGGTGGAGGGAGTTGCTGACATGCTTCTGCGAGGGTGTGTGTGTGTGTGTGTGGAATGTGAGTCTGTGTGTGTGAGGAGGGTTGAGCCAGCTCACCTAACTGCAGTGCACCTTTCAGTCCCCCCTAATTAACTTCAAACTTTCTCAGAACCCTAAGTGGGTCTCTTTGGCCCCATCCTTCAGTAGATGAGGCTTTGTCTGCCCTGGGCATGCCTCTTTCCTCTGTCCTGCTGACCCGTTCCCAGGATGTGCTATCATCTAAAGATAACCTAGGTGAAACCTGCAGCAAGCAATTGGGAGAAGGGTTCGAGCAATCCTCCCTGGGCCCGATTCTGTTGTGAGAAAGAGGCTCCCTTTAAATAAGAGCCCAACATCTGGAAACAGAGATGGACACAGGCATGCCCTGGGGTCAGTGGGTTCCTCTTGACAGATCTGCAGAAGGTCACTGGCCAAAGAAAGGCCACAGAAGGCTACAAGCGCATACTTGGGTTGCTGCTCTGCAGAAAGCCAGGTAAGGAGTGGGAATGACCTCCCGGTAGCCCTTTGCACCAGGAGGCTTCTCTGCATTCTGATGAAGCCACCACAGGCCGTCTTGTGCATCGTCTCCTTTCACACCGTCCAATTCACCTCTGCAGGAAGGCCTGGCCCCACCACCTGTCGCCACTCCGGGGTCAGAGCACCGAGCGCTTACTAATTCAGCTAACAGGACTTAAGAGCTGCCTGGATCAGACCCCAACAGGAGATGGAGGGCAGCAGGTGAATACAGGAGGGCCTTTAGTAATGCTGGGAGCTACGGAGGGAGAGAGAGAGGGGAAAACCGAGGCATCCAGAAGGACCTGAAAGGGGGACAGGGGATGGGGATTGCTAGCAGCTGCCAGAAAGCCCAGAAAAGGGAGCCCTGCTCAGGAGGACGCCCAGGCCAAATCCTGTACCAGCCACCCCAGGGCTCCCCTGTTTCCCCCAAAAGAAGACATCCCCTGATAATAAGCCCAATCGGGCTTTTGAGCGCATGGCAATAAGGCCAAGCGCTTATTTCAGTCTTCAAAAAAAATAGAAGGCAGGGAAACCCAGTGGTTCCTACCTCTGCTGGTGCGAGAGCGGTGGCCAGGGCCTTCTGCTGGGGAGACAAGCAAACTGGTCATGTCTTTATGGCTGGCTTCGTCCTTCTGCTCTGGACTGGCTGATAGCACAGCATGAGGGGCACAGATGTCTTCGGTCTTGCTAGCTGCAGCAAACTTCTCCATCTGCAAAGAGAGAAGATACCCACGGATGCAGTCCCCAGGGTGGCTCTTCTGCCTTCCTCTGTTCTTGGCAACCGTAAGGCCTCCCAGAGGAAGGGAGAGGACGCAGATGGATTGACTCTTTTTGGGTGGCCCGCTGGACTCAAACAAAACTTTTTGAGCAACCTTGGATGGCTCACCTCAGTAATCATCCTGCCCCGTGTCTTGTTCCTCTCCCGACAGGCTGCCCGCTTCTTTTGTTGCTGCAGGACACGCTCTCGGCACGTGTGGTACTCCAGGGCAAATTCCCGCAGGAGCCGGCAGAAGCTGGTAACCCTCATGTTCTGCGCCGAGTGTGCGTCGTAACCCAGGAACAGGAGAAAGGCGCGGAACCTTGAGAGAGAGAGAGAAAGCATGAGCCTTGGTGGTGCAGTGGTTAGAGTGCAATACTGCAGGCTACTTCTGCTGATTGCCGGCAATTTTGCAATTCAAGTCTCACCAGCTCAAGGCTGAATTAGCTTTCCATCCTTCCGATGTGGGTAAAATGAGGACCCAGATTGCTGGGGCAAGAGACTAACTCTGTAAACTGCTTAGGGCAGTAAAGCACTATGAAGCTACAAATTGTAGTTGGCACTGCAGGAATCTGCTCAAGTGTGTCCACTCACCCTCTTCCCTTGGAAGGACCTCCGGGGACCCTGAAAAGAGTGGGCTGAAGGATGCATGGAGCAGCAGAAAAGCAAAAATGCTGCCCTCCCCCTTGGAGAGGAAGACTGCAGCACTTGGGCAGAAAATCCCTCCAGGGACAGCCTGGTTGGTCTCTCATCATTCCAGACTAAATTCCCATCTCATTTTTCAGCTCCAAGCATGATAAAGGTCTTTTTTAAATTAGATACTCATCAACTTAACATTAAACGAGTAATTACTACAAATAAGCAAATCACCAAATTGAACAAACGCACCAAGAAAAGGAGGAGGGAGGGAGGTGACAGCAGTTTGTCCCGATGGGGCACCTGAGAAGGGAGAGCAAGCAGCATGGTTGTCTTCGTAAGGCCACAGCTCCTGCTGGCCCCACACACTCTCGAGACAATGTCCTTGGCTTCCCCTGGCCTTCCTCTGGGGGTGCCCCAGCTTCCATCCAGATACAGCCCTGATCTGAAGACCCCCCAACGGTGGCGAGATCCGTGCAGTGGCCAGCAAGTGAAGCAGGCAACTCAAGACTCCCCTTTCTACCCAGACACTGAACCACTTGGTCAAATTCTAGCTATGCCATTGGTGGGGGCTGTTTTCTGGATGGGGGGTCTTTAAGGATGGGATAGTTTCACCTCGGGGATGTAAAAAATTGTACTGCCCGGTAAGCCGAGCTTCCAGGGTGACGTCATGGTGTTGTGATCCAAGAAACGGAGCTCTGTCTTCTTGGATTGAATTTCTGCGTTTGGAAGCCGGTAACGGCAAGAGCTGACCCTGGAGAGGTCGGTTCTATAGAGGGGAAATTCTTGGGGTAACAGGGAGGTGCACAATCCCCTGTTACAGAAGGAAGAACCCCTTAATTTTCAGCGTGGAAGAGACTCTCTGTAATGGTCGGATCCAGAGGCGTGACGGTCCATTTGAATAGAGAAGGAAGCAAGAAGTGGAAAAACAGCTAGAAGCATCAATGAATTGAGACGGGACAGAGCGAGTTACTGGGCTACTCCCCTAAATTGGTGGAACTTAAAAGGTGAGACAAGGGAGTCTCTAAAAAGAAAAAAAATGGCGCCCCAGGCGGTGGAGCAGAACAGCATAAAAGAAGTGGAAGAGAGAAAAGAGGACGATTGGAGGAGCTGAAAGGAAGAGAAAGGAAGGAACTTGAATTCCGGTACAGATTGGGACTAATTTGATCGGGATTTGAAAGTGAAAGAAGGTGGACTGTGGACTTAACAACTTAAACAATGAGGTTCGGAGTGTGGATTAGAGTGACAGCAACAGTGACAATGCATATTAAGAGGAGCAGACATCTTGGAAGAAGAAGTTAGAAAGTAGCGAGCGGAAGAGGATTGGACAATGTAAGGAAGTAGGAAAGCAGAGGACTTGTTTAGAACTATTAAGAAAATGTAGGCTGGTGAGATTAGAAGCCAGAGGTGTATATTGTATATATTGTCTATTTAGAAGTAAATAATATGGTATATGTCTAGATTATTTTTACTTTTATTATTGTCATTATTGGTTATTCAACTGACACTTGAAAATAGTGGTATATTATAAGCTAGTGTATATAAATAGATAAGGCTAGTTGCAAATAGGGAAAAATAATTTATATATGGAGTGATTATTATTACTGTTTGTTTTGCCTTGTCTTTTTGCCTATATGTCCCTTTTTTATTTTGAAGTAATATATTCTTGTTTATTTAGGTATTGTTAATTGAATTTAGAGTGAAACTGATATTGATAAGGTTGGAAGATAGAATTAACTAATTATTAATCATCCTTTTTATTATAACTATATATTATTATTAATCACACTAAATTATACTATCTAATTATTTAAGTATTGCTATTGAACTTTTAAAGGACTGTAATTGAGGGAAATTTTAATACCTAAAAGTAGATAGAAAAGATAAACTATAGGAGGAGAAAGATTTGTGTAGGTTTTGTGGAAGAAATTTTTTGGGAAATTAGATATGTCGAATACAGCAACAGTAACCAAAACTGCAAAACTGCAAAACTGACACAAATGACTGCCTCTCCAGCAGGACAAAAACTGATAGGAGATATGTTGCGAGGTGAGAAAGCAGGGATTTCAACGAACCTACAAAGCATGCAGACATCTCTGAATATGATTCAGGAGGTACTTCTGAAGGCTCAAGAATCGATTGGAAAGAATCATGAGGAATTGAAAAACGATATGAAGTTAAAGGCGATATAAGAAAATTAGACGATAAAATAGGAGAAATACAAGAGACAATTGTTAAGAACGATCAGAGGATAAAAATTGTGGACGAAAGAACTGAACAGACAGAACAAAAACTGGAGGAGACAGAAAAGAAATTGATGGCAAAGAATCGAGAACTTGAGGAGGCAATAACATTTCTCGAAATGGACAACTCTGCGTTTTACTTATGATTCGAGAAAATAAAGAAGAAGACCTCCTGAGTCTTATGATAGAGTTGTTAGCTAGCAGTTTGAAGATGAATAAGAGTGAGTTACAACATGGTTGTACGAAGAGAGTATGGTTTAAGAGAGTATGACTTACAAAGAGAGTATGGCTTAATAAGAAGCTGACGGAACATACAAAGATCCAGGTCTATAGAGCCTGCGTCTTGAGCACACTCTTGTACTGCAGTGAGTCTTGGACCCTTTACGCACGGCAGGAGAGAAAGTTGAACACCTTTCATATGCGCTGTCTCCGATGAATTCCTGGCATCATCTGGCAGGACAAAATTCCAAATAGCACAGTCTTGGAACGTGCTAGAATTTCTAGCATGTATACACTATTGAAACAGCGATGTCTACGCTGGTTTGGGCATGTTGTGAGAATGGCTGATGGTTGGATTCTGAAAGATCTCCTGTATGGAGAATTGGTGCAGGGAAAGCTCCTCAGAGGGAGACCACAGCTGCGATATAAGGATATCTGCATGAGGGACCTAAAGGCCCTGGGAATGGACATTAACAACTGGGAAACCTTGACCTCCGATCGTTCAGCTTAACAGTGAATGATAAAAGAATAAAAGGTTGGAAAATATTAAGGAAAATAAAAAAGTCCAGGACTTAGATTTATAAGACTATATTGAGATTAATAAATGTGAGAAGAAATATGTTACAGATACTTAGATATGAAATATGGATTGAAGTTAAAACATATGACGGCTGTTGCCAGGGGGACCTTTTGTCAGGTTCACCTGATTCGCCAGTTGCGCTCCTTTCTTGATCGGGATTCCGTGTGCACAGTCACTCATGCCCTCGTCACCTCGCCTGGACTACTGCAACACTCTCTACATGGGGCTCCCCTTGAGGAGCACCCGGAGGCTCCAACTGGTCCAGAATGTGGCCGTGCGGGTAATTACGGGAGCTGCATGGCGCTCCCGCATAACACCGCTCCTGCGCGAGCTGCACTGGCTCCCAGTGGTCTTCCGGGTGCGCTTCAAGGTGTTGGTTACCACCTTTACAGCGCTCCATGGCATAGGACCTAGTTATCTCCGAGACCGCCTTCTGCCACCGACGACCTCCCATCGACCCGTGTGCTCCCACAGAGAGGGCCTCCTCGGGGTGCCATCAGCCAAGCAATGCAGGCTGGTGACCCCCAGGGGGAGGGCCTTCTCTGTGGGGGCACCTACCCTCTGGAATCAGCTGCCCCCAGAGATAAGGAGAATCCAAGACCTCCGTGCCTTCCGCCGTTCCCTTAAAACTTTCCTTTTCCAACAAGCCGGGCTGGCCTAACAATGCCTTTTAAATGATTTTAAATTGGTATGTTTCTTAAATTTTTGGCCAAATTGAGATATTTCCTTTTAATTTGTTCTTAATGTTTATATTATGTGTTTTTATCTGGCTGTACACCGCCCTGAGTTCCCAGGAAGAAGGGCGGTATATAAATTCGAAGTAAAAATATGAGAAATAGACTATGTTAAAAGAAAATATATTAATGGATATGATGAAGCAATTTTTATGAAGATGTTGGATGATATTATTTGAGGAAATTGATATCTATAATAATTGGGATACTGTTTAAATATTTATAGAGATTACACTGGGATTAATAGTGAAAAAAATAAAGACGATCACACTAGGACTAACGGAAAAAAATAAAGATGATTACACTGGGATTAACAGTGGAATGATAAAAGAAAAGGTTGAATTAGATTATGTAAAAAATATATATCAATGGATATAATTTATCAATTTTTATTAAGAAGTTGGATGGTATCATTTGAGAAAATTGACAGCTATAATAATTGGGATATTGTTTAAATACGTATAACAATTGTAATAATTTGAACATTTTTCATTTAAGCAAAAAAGAAAAGAAAATTGAAACAATATATGCTTATGATTTACAAACAAAAATTACTTAATTGGTGTTTATATAAATGGTATGGTTAAATAGATAGAATTTAGGGAAATAATTGGGAAATTGTATTAAATAGCATTATTTGAATTAAGAACTATGTTTAAATGTTAAATTGCTATATTTTTAAGATTAGAGATAAGATTTAAATTTGATAAAGTAATAATGGAATAAAGATTTAATGAGCATTACATGAATAAATAAATGTAAGGAAGTTTTAGAAATGGAAATAATTTTGAAATATAAACATGTTTGAACTGTATTGTTAATAGTGAGGATTTAAGGTAAGAATTGTGAAATGTATTATGAGGTATTAATTGAATTAATATTTAAGATGGGTTAATAGAAGGGTAATTAT